AGCTGTGTGATGTTGAATTAAACTGCACAACTCTCTGCAACCCAATGGAGATCTCCTCATCAATTGTTGCAATACTGAAAATTGAACCCGAGGCCCTCTAGTATTGAATCATATCCTCAAGCCTTTTTTATTTACTTACTTTTCGAGACAGGATCTCACTAAATTGCCCAGGCTGGCCTTGAACTTGTAATGCTCCTGCCTCAGTTTCCTGAGCAGTGGGACTACAGGTGTTTTGCACCACCATGTCTGGTTACAAATATCATTTTTTAAAAAAGAAAATAGTAATGATTTATTTGTTGATTGCTAGTGAATGTCTCTTAACTGGAAGGTAGGACTCACTTGGTGATGCTAAGTAAGTTAGGAACAGAGAACATGAAAGTATGCTTCTGCTTATAATATTAGAACCAAATGAAGCTTGTAAAGTTGTCTTCCCTCTCTTAATTCTCTTAGTCCTCCTTGATACAAAGTTGAACGGTGTCACTTAGGGAGAGTAAAAAAGCTACCTGGGGTTCTGTGTTTGACTGGAAAGGAGGATAAATATGTATCAGTCAGCTCCATTTACTACAATCAAATACACCAGGCAGTTGAATTGCAAAGAGAGAAAAGGTTTATTTAGCTTACAGTTTCAGAGGCTGAAAATTCAAATGACAAAGTGCTCAATAGCCGTGCCTGGGCTATGTGGCCTCATGGTGCTCATGGCAGGAGAGTATGTCAGGAGCAACCTCGTGATTACATCTCGAATCAGGAGTGGAGAGCAAGGGAGCACTTGGGGTCCCACAATCCACTGTGAGGATATGCCCCCAATGACCTAAGGATATTCCACTAGGCCCCATCTGCTAAAGGTCCACAGAACTTCCCACTACCACCACCCTGGGGACAAAGAAGCATCTACATATGGATCTTTGGAGGCAGTTCAACATCCAAACCATAGCAGGGTATCACAAGCCTGAGAGTGGATGGGCACATCAGGATAAGATACTAAAATCAGCCAGGTTCCAGAAAATGGGCTGAAGAGAGAGTGGTGAGAGGTAATGGAACAAGGAAATGAGGAACTCAGTAAAGACCTTGAATTCTATTCTTGGAGCTTAAAATTTATACATGGGACAATTGTTTCCAGAAATGGAAGTATTTTTTTCTTTCCTTTCTCTAAGCTACAGCATGTGGACACACTTGCCAGCACCCTCTCCACACCCATGAGGAAAAATAACCCATCCAACACAGAACACCAAATCTGAGATGTTGTGAGAAGTCACTGGATTTAAACCCAGCCCTTTCCTGCACTGCTTGTTTTAGGAAATGTGCCTCCACACCTCCTCAATGTTACCTTGAATTCAGAATTAGAGTAAAAAGACTAAAAATTGGGAAATGTCCTAAAATACTAAATCACCGTTTACATTTACCTGAAAAAAAACAAAACTGTTCATAGTGTCAAGGTGAAAGTGATTATGACAGGTGGTGGGGGGTGTATGCTCTTGGAAAGAAGAATAGAGTTTAGACGGACTTCTATGATATTGTCTCCCTATTCTTCCCAACAGATTGCCCACATCCCCTGAAAGGGATTCTTATAAGCATAACCATAGTAAAACCCACTCTTAACCACTCCCTAACAAAGTAGTGTTTAGGACAGCTACACCTTTCACCATCCTATTGCTGATGTTTTTTCAATCATTCAATTTTATATGATGACTCAAATCTCTAGGCTACTATATTGCACAGCACAATTCTAAAATATGAACATTGCATTCCTTGTGCTTTGGGGCTCTCATTAAGGAAGTCAGTGCCTGCACCTATATGATGGAATGTGGACCCTATGTTTTCTTCTAGCACTTGTAAACTTTATGGTCTAATTCCTAAGTCTTTGATCCATTTAGATTTGAGTTTTGTGCACATAAGAGAAAGGAGTCTAATTTCACTCAGTTTTCCCAGCACTATTTGTTTAAAAGGCTATCTTTTCTCCAAGATACATCTGTGGCACTTTTGTCAAACAACAGACAGCTATAGGTATGTGGATTTTTCTCTACGTCTTCTATTCTGCTCCCTTGGTCTTCATGTCTATTTTTGATGCCAATACCATGCTGTTTTGTTACCGCAGCTCTGTAATATAATTTCAGATCAGGTATTGTGATGCTTCGCTTTTCTTGCTTAGTATTGTTTTGGCTATTCTGGGTCTCTTATTCTTCCCAATGAATTTAAGAATTATTTTTTTTCTGATTCTGTGAAGAATGTCATTAGTATTTTGATGGATATTGCAAAAAATGCGACTAAGAGTCAGTAAATGGAATCATCAAACTAAAAAGTCTCTGAACAGCAAAGGAAATAAGAGTGTGAAGAGAAAGCCTAATGAATGGGAGAAAATCTTGGACAGCTATTCCTCCAATAGGGAATTAATATCCAGTATATACAAAGAACTCAAAAATTTAACACACACACACACACACACACACACACGTCCAATCAATAAAAGAGCTAAACAGAAACTTCTCATGAGAAGAAACACAAATGGCCAACAAATATATGAAAAAACAAATGTCTAACATCTTTAGCAATCAGAGAAATGCGAATCAAAACTACCCTAGGATTTCATGTCACTCCAGTTAGAGTGGCAATAATCAAGAATAAAAACAACAATAAATACTAGCATTGTGGGGGAAAGGTACACTTGTACATAAAGCTCTAATAAAGCTCAAATAAGAAATAAAATATGGATTTCTTCATATCCTGTCCTAAAAAGCTGTAGAATAAATTCACAATAACCAAACTATGGAATCAGCCTAGGTTTCCATCAATGGATAAATGAATAAAGAAAATGTGGTATGTATTCACAACAGAATTTTATTCAGCCATAAAGAGAAATGAAATTATGTCATTTGCAGGGAAATGGATGAAATTAGAGATCATCGTGTTAAGCAAAATAAGTCAAGTCTGAAGGGCAAGGGTCATATGTTTTCTCTCATATGCAAAAGCCAAAGGAGAAAAAGGAAAAAAAAAGGTGGGGGCCGGATCTCATAAAAATCAAAGGGAGCCCAGTAGAGAAAATGGACCTAAAATAGAGGGTCAGTAGTGGAGGGAGGGGGGAATGCTGGAAAGTGATATTGGCCAAATTAAATTGCTATATTTTGTGTCTATATGAGTATGTAACAGCAAATCCAATCATTATGTACAATTATAATGTATCAATATTAAAATGTGGGAAAATAAAGACCCAATCCACTTTTTTAAAAAAAGCTGTAGAATAATATCTAGAGTCAGTTATATGACATTGAATAATCCTCATAGTTCAACCTCCTCTTTGTTTTCTACCACCCACCACCCTCATCCCAACTCCACATGTGCTGTAGAAATTTGGTTTTCATAAATAATCCATAATTTTTATATCTCCTAGATTTTGATCCTGCTCTCTATCTAGAATGCCCATTCCTGACTTCCTTCCTTTCAAAATTTTACCCATTTTCAAGGCCTAATGAAGAAAGCTCTGGACCCTCCCTGGACCCATCCCCATATCCTTGGCCTTGGGCAAGCCATTTGGCATGTCTTAGCCCAATTTTCTCTTCTGTCAAGTGGAAATGATAACCCTGACTCTCTTAAAGTTGCCGGGCTACTAGATATCTCGTGTTTTCAGATGCCACCACTGAGAAAACATGAAATAAAAACCGTTGTTTTTATTTACTGTCCTTCTGTAACACTTGTGGAATTAGGGGTCTTAGATGGGATTAGATGGGATTCTTTCCCCACCTCACCCCATCAGAACTGTGAGTTTATTAGCAATGAAGCCTCAGTCTTGTGCAATATGGTCCCCCAGCATTTAACACACTGTAGCCATTTGACAAATGCCTTGGCTGAGTGGAAAAATAAATGAGCCAATTACACACACACACACACACACACACACACACATCTTATGTACATGTATCTTTAGGGAGGCTAAAAAAATCATACAGTTATAGCAAGAATGAGAAAAAAATAGAATGCAAATAACTTTAAAGTAGCAAATATTACTTGTTACTGCCCAGAAAAGCTGGCAAAAGTCTGTCCTAGAGCCTGTTCTCCTTCTTGCTTGGGTGAAGTATGAGCTTTAACATTTTGCCATTTTCGACTTTCCCTTCTGGGTCCCTGATTTCTCTGCCACCTCCTCCCTTCCCATAGGGACTAAGCCTTCATCACCGTCGCCAAGGCAACATCAGGGATGCCCCATTCCTTGCAGCTCTGCCTGTCTAAACGCTGGTTGCCTTTGTCCACTGAGTGGGCTGAATTTTTTAACCGCTCACCACCGAATCAGCTATCTTTTATACAGAGGTTTATGCATTCGTCTACCTTTTAAAAAATATTCTGTTTAAAAACTTCTTCTCTTGCAAGGGTCCTTATCCAGACCTGCCAATTCCTTGAAGGCACCAGACATTTTTGGTGCCTAGAAGCAAACATAAAAACCGCCTGTTTAGCCTTTGTTAGCATGTGCAACGTAAATGCGGGCCAATTCAAAAGCACGCAACAGAGCATTCATAATGGGTCTCCCTTTTAAAAGCAGAGTAGACCAAAAATAAACCTGACAAAAGGCAGCTGCAGAGTTTTTAACATGTGGAAAACTCCACAGGCAGCAGTTATGTAACTTGAAAGAAACATGATAAATATTTCACACCGTTAGATGAACTTCCAATTCTGACACGTGAAAGTGCAAAGAACACAAAACACACCTTAACTCCCCGGAGGAGCAAAACGCTTACACTGACCAGGGGCCAAGGCTATTCTGAAACCTGAGACCTGACTTCCAGCACCATCGCGATTGCTTTTCTTTTTTCCCCTAAAGTCCGAGGCGGAGCTCGCGGACTCCCTCTCCCAGCGCTTCCCTCGCGGTTTTGCTCGTTCGGCAGAATTTTTTTTTTCCAACAAGCTCTTAGCCCTAAGCTGAAACCCGAAAAAGAAGTTTTGTGCGCAGAAGAAAGGGATCGGAGCGAGGCAGGCGGAGCCCGCCCCCGGCCCAACCCATCACCGACCGCCACCCCCCCCCGCGCCCCCCACCCCAGTGCGCGCCTTCTGCCCGGAGCTCCTCGCCCTGGGGACAGCTGGCAGCCCGCGCAGGACCAGACACAAAGCCGATCAATCCCGGCGGCGCGGGGGTGGGGGAACGACCCGCCAAGGCTTTCCCTTCCGCTGCTTGATTACTGCTGCCCCACCACCACCACCACTAGGACCCGGCGGACACCTTGGGTCGCTTCCACGCCCCCAGCCCACTCCCCTCCTTAAAAAAAAGAACGGCCCGGAGCCCCCATCCCAGGACCGGACGATTGAAGACCGGCCTCTTGGCACCCTGCGGAGAAGGCGCCCGGGGAAGAGAAACTGACATCCCTTCGGGACCCGCCCCTCCCCTCCGCTTCCTCGGCTGCACTACTCTCTGCTCCTCGGCAGCCCCAGAAGTTCGGGGCCCCCGCCCGCCTCCCGCGCTCCTGCCGCCGGGACCCTGGACCTCCGCGCCCAGCAGCTAGCTCCGGCCCCGGGAAGATGGCGAGGGGGAGCAGCCACCGCCTCCTCCTGCTGTTGCTGCGCTACCTGGTGGTCGCCCTGGGCTGTAAGTTGCTCGGGTACCTCCACCCGCCCACCCATCCACCGCCTCCTACTTGACCAGCCTCCCCCAAACCTCCAGCGCCCAGACGCGGCGCTCGCGGACCGCGCCTCTGCGCCCCTGGGCTGGGGTGGGGGGTCTGTAGAGGGGCATCAGGTTTTACACTAAACCAGCGGGAAATGCCGGGGGGCGGACGGGTGCAGGTACTGGGGGTCGGGGAGCTGGGGTTTCTGGTAAATAGCGCCCGATTTCGTCAGTTGTAGTTCGAAAAAATTAAGGGTGTCCACTAGCAGATTCTCGTCTTCTTACAAAGTTGGGGTAAGTTTTCAAAGACACCGGGGACGAGATCAGAATGCAAAACTCAACTCCTAAGATGCTAAGAGCCCGAGGAAGATGGCATCACTAGGAGGCAGGCGCCGGCCGCGATTTAAGTACCGACAGGCGGAGGGGCCAGTGGCAGAGTGGACACGGCTTCTAGGGGTCCCTTCTGGGCGGACAGTATGCAAGGCGCTTGTGCGAGGCGGGGGTGGGGGAAGTTCGTGGCTGCTGAGCCACAAGTACTTTTATCCTCTCCACCTGCACATGGACGGACCTTCAGAGAAGTCTGATCTGGTGTCTCTGGCCAGCTGCTGTGTCCTCAGGAGACGTCCAGTGGGACAATAGTTAGAAAGATGCAAAAGCCGAATGATCGAGTAGCTTAGTAGGGGAGACATCTCAAAGCCAATTTCACGGGATGGTTTTAAAAAGGGTTTTCACAGATTCTGAACTCATGAGATTTAAAATCCTGGGAACGTTTCCTTTTGTTTTCTTCGCGTTTACTTTTTTTTTTTTTTTTGAAAAAGACAATAGACCTTAAGCAGTGAAGTCTTTGTCTTTCGTTCTTTCTATTTTTTCTTTCCTTTAAAAAAAATAAATGAGTTATTGTTTCTATTCAAGTCCTAGTAATATAATACGTATAATACTTAAAACAACCTGCCAGATGAGTGTCTTACACCACAATAGAATGACTTTTCCCACAATCTCATTAGAGGGGAAGGAGGGTGCATATTGTCTCAAGGAAGGAACATGTGCTGATCTATAATAAAGAAAACCAAACCAAGAAGGCAGAGTTTCACAATTAAACCTTTGTGCAATTTTGAAATATCAATTGGTATCACACTGAACAGCAAAGAAAAAAAAAATGTGCCCATGCAGAAAGGCAACAAAGACACAAGCTGGAGGAACTGTAACAAAACTACTGGGCAAGATATGTATTCCACTGAAAGTTTAAATATCTAAAAGCATTGTGATTTTACTGTAAAATGTGTTAATTAAAAACAGTGAAAATCATTTTACTCTCTTATTTCTATTTAGGCATCAAAATAGGAACAATATACCCTAAGTTTGAAGTTATAGCCAAGAAACAACCAAGAGGCAATCAATCCACAAAAAATAAGATAAAATAGAATAAATAGATTAATGGGCAGGATTAAAGTGTTGGGTAAATATATAATATATAAATATATAATATATGGCCTCTGCTAATCCTAATTTATTTGGGGTTTAATTTGGAAGTATTGTGGTAACATTTTCCATATTGTTCCTGGGTTATCAAAAAGTCTGGCACTGCAAGTGTTTTCTTGCATTTTTAATTTTTTTTTGGGGGGGGTTGGTGTACAGTACTGTGATTGAACCCAGGGATGCTATATCCCTAGTCCTTTTATTTTTTTATTTTGAGAAAGGGTCTCACTAAATTGCTGAGACTAGCCTTGTGCTTGACATCCTCCTCCTTCAGCCTTTTGAGTTGCTGGGATTACAGGCATATACCCCACACCCAGTTTCCCCTGCTGTTTGTATCTTATTAGTACAGTACACAGTACACTTTGTTCAGGTTTTCCTTACTTTTCCTTGGTGTCCTCTTCTGTTCCAGGATCCCACATTCCATCCAGTCCTCATGTCTCCTTGGGCACCCCTTGGCTATGGCAGTGTCTCAGATTTCCCTTGTTTTGTATTACTTTGACAGGTTTGAAGAATACTAGTCAAGTATCCTCATGGTATTTCTCTGATGTTTTTCTCATGACTCAAATGGGTTCTAGGGTTTGGGGAGGAGGACCACAGAGGTGAAGTGCCATTTTTACCATATTATATTTAGGGAGCATACTGTAAACATGACTTACTACTGTTGATGTTGACCTTCTTCACCTGGCTGAGGTAGTGTATATCAGCTTTCTGTATAGGTTGCTTACCTGTTTTCCTCATTTCCATGCTAAATATTTTGGAAGGAAGTCACTGCACAATCCACACTTAAGGAAGGAGAGCTATATTTTACCTGCTTGAAGGTATAATAGCTTCATGAACTATTTGGAATTCTTAGGGAAGGAGGATGTGTCTCTTGTGTATTTAACCACTTATTTTTCTATCCACATGGGCTCATACATATTTGCTTTATACTTTGGTTGGTAATCTAATACTATTTTATTTATTAAAGACTTGGTGGATTTCTTATGCTATAATTATGTACTCATCTTCTTAATACTCCTCCCAAATGTAATTGTACCATTCCCTGTCCCAATCTTGTTATATCTAATTATAATATCATGCTTATTCTATTTTTTCTACTATTTTGCAACCTTTTAAATATATTTCTTAGTACTCTAGAGGATCTTTTATTGTTTTTCCTGTCACTTAAAGTATGAGTTCAATGTCTTTATTGATATGGATATTTATTTTTGTGTTTAGTTGATGTTTTAGTCATCTTTTAGTTACTATAACAAAATACCTGAAATAACCAACTTAAAAAAAGAAAATACTTATTTTGGCTCATAATTTCTGAGATTTCAACCCATTTTTGGTTGGCACCTATGCTTTTGGCCCTGTGATCACATCACATCATAGTGGGGAGCACATGGTGAAGTAAATCCTCTCACATTATGGCATAGATGTGAAAAACAGGGAGGAAAGGGTAAGAGTCCCACTGGTCCCCTCAAGGGTACACTAGAAAACCTCCCATTATGCTAACCAATTAAAATCTCTTCCTCTTCTGAACAGCACCACAGGCTGCAGACCAAGACTTTAAAACACAGACAGGGTTTAGGGAGACATTTATTTAAACCTAAGCAGTTAAATTATATTTTTCTTTCCCACTCCAATAATCCAGTGCTGAGCAAATAACTTAGTTAATAGTAGATGTGACCATGTACCTGTTGATTAATTAACTAATACACTAATGGTGTATTAGTTCATTTAGGCTGCTGTAACAAAATGCCATAAATTGGGTAGCTTAGTTTTTTATTAACAGTTTTGGAGGCTGGGATGTCCACAATTAGCACAGGTGTGTTCAGTGTCTAATGAGGGCTCACTCCCTGGCTCAAAGATGACTCCCTCTCTTCGAGTCCTCACGTGATGGAAGGGACAAGGCAGCCCTCTGGAGCATCTTTTATTTTTATTTATTTATTCATTGGTTCAGGGGATTGAAACCAGGGGTGCTTAACCTTGGAGCCAGGTTTCCCAACCCTTTTTATTTCTTTAATTTGAGACAAGGTCTTGCTAAATTGCTTGGAGCCTCATTAAGTTTCTGAGGCTGGCTTTGAACTTGCGATCCTCCCACCTCAGCCTCCCAAGCTGCTGGGATCACAGGTTTGCACCAGCTCTGGAGTCTCTTTTATGAAGGCACTAATCTCATTTACAAACATTCTCCCTCAATCACCTAATCACCTCTCAACAGCCCCATATCCTAATGCTATCACATTGATGATTAGGTTTCAATATATGGATTGCTTTTTTTCCAGGGGGTGGGGAGGCTGCAAAAACATTCAGACCATGCAAATGGAAGGGAATAAGGTAGGGTCAGTAGACAAAAATATATAGACTTAATAATTGCAGTATAAATCCTGAAACACCAACTACATATTGAGTAGGTAGCGTATTAAAAGTTTCCAGAGGTGTCCGTTAAGCTGATATATCCAAAAAGAGAACGAATGAGTGTTTGGTACTGGGGAGGGGCTGTCGTGCTTTTGGGGATTAGCCAAGAAATTGAGTGAACAGGAACAGTTCCTGACACTAGCTGGCTGGTAGAAGCTGGTCTTCAGATCTGCACTGTAACACAAGCCAGCCACTTGGCCTGAGTCTGTAATCTCATAAACCAATAAGGACTTAGGTAGGAGAGGTCTTGATCTTTTGTCAAATCACAAAATTCTTACTTCTGGCAGTACTGACCCAAAACAGCACTCGAGGGGAACCCATGCCAGGAAAATTCTGCCTTCTGTAAACATTGTTAAGAACAAAGCTTCCTAATTAATTAGCTGAAGGGAACCAGTTCCATCCTGGCATGGCCTCCATTAGCTGATGATATAAAGGTCAAAATGAGCTTGTTGGTGAAAGCTGATAACCATTTCAAGACTATAACAGAACGGACATTAGAAAAAGGTCATAAACAAAAATTTCAGACTAAAGAGAACAGTGAGTTCCCTTGGCTGAGAACATTCCTTTACCCTTCCACCTGACTGTGTCATGAGAGGCGCCCAGGAGAGCTTACAGATGTTGCCTGCCAGCTGGGGATGCAGCTCAGTGGGGGAGCACTTGCTATGGATGCTCACCCCTGGTGGTTGCCACCGTTGATGCTTTTCTCCCGTGGGTCGTTTTGCTGGAGAATCCATGTTGGACTATACGTAAGAGGTACACTCTTTGTTAAAGTCAAAAAGCACCTGTATAGGTTATTATTAAAAACAACATGTCCTTTTCATCCCATAGTGACAAAGTGGTAGCACTACTGAGTCCATACTCTAGGATTCCCCTGTTGACAGATTGACATCTAGAGGAAGGTAAGGGTGAGAATGGAAAAGGGGAATTAGAACCTGGATCAGGTGTTTCCTTTGGTAAAGGCAGGAAAAAAAAAATCTTAAAACTGGGCACTGTTTTCTTGAAGGGTAGAAATGAGAAAAACAACCCAACTAGTTAATTTTCTATTGCTGCAAAAACAAATGCCTGCAAGCAATACAACACGAATTATTACCTTGAAGATCTAGTGA